AGAGAGAGAGAGAGAGAGAGAGAGAGAGTGCGTGTGTATGTGTGTATGTGTGCGTGCGTGTATATGTGCGAAAGAGAATGAATGAGAGAAAAAGAAATGACGATGGAACGTAAACTATGGTTGAACAATATTTGATAACGATTATAAAACAAAGACTCGTAGATCAAGATGATTAACTGCGATCCACGAAGAAATTAAGTTAATCGCAAAGATAAATGATCTTGGCATGTCCGTCACGATTGTTAAGTTTTCTGCATCGAACGGAATAATTTAGGCACGTTTCGATGAATTAGCAAACATGTGGTTAACAGTATACCAATTTCGAAAAGTAATTCACGAACAAACTTCGAATAAAGTCAACGGAATCACACTGCGGATGTAGTGTGAATTTCGACATTCGTGGTAAAAATGTAATAAAAAGAAAAAAAGAAAACGCGCGTAATGCGTTATGGTTTTGTAAATCCCTCCTTCTCTGCACACGACTAGACATTCGTAAATTACACTTGAATACTCTTAGTCGAACAATGCAGAAGATGAAAATTATGTAAAGTTCTCTACTACGTATGTGTGTGTAAAGCATTCAATCATCGTTTTCGACTACTATGTGAAGTTACGACCAGCGACATGTGAAAATTTTTCAGTAGTTGCAATAAAATAAAGAAATTTTTATAAATATATTGAAGAAAAGGACAATTTCATTCAACAGGATTCCTGTCCTTAATTAATGGTGGGATGTACAATAATTGTTAATAATTAATCGATTAAATAAAGATTCATATTCAAAAATGTGCTTGAAACTTATTGCGCGCACTTTCAAATATGCCCGCGTTCGACTTCGACTTAAATTTCGAAATGCTTCGATCTGTTCATTAGAATTTCTAAATTTTTATACCCGTGTTTTACGGATGAAATGGGATATAGGAAGGAAGTTGAGAGCCTACTAAAAATTACGCAATTGCAAAAATTTATAAATTAATCCTCTTAATTAGCGTTTCTACGAACGAAAATTTATTCAATTTATGGACACTGAAATGCTAGCGCCGCGTAGCGGTGAAATGCGGGAACTAAAATATGCTGTTCTTGTCACACACTAATGCTTTCCTTGTCTAGCATGCGCATTATATCCACCCTTATCGCACAATATTATGCTCCTTGTCGACAAGTGCTGCCATCTATCGAACCTTTATAATTTTAGCCATTGACTAAAGATAGAATTGACCAGGCATGAAATGTAAAAAATCTCGTCACGGTGCGCATAGATGGCAGCACTATTCGTAAACAAGGAGCACAATAGTATGCGACAAGAAAAAATATACGCCACATGCTAGACAAGGAGTATGATAATGAGCAACAAGGAGAGGTCTAATAATTGAATTTTGGCGCGTAATTTTCAAAGTTTTGAAATAAATTTTTTACATACGCGCGTATGTACGGCGTACGTAGAAACCTCTGAATGACTGAAGTTTTTTAAGCACTTTAAAAGATGATATCAAACTAAATAAAGAGAGAATTCTATTGAAATTTGTACTTTGATTTTTGCTTCTCTTTTTTAACTTTTTATTTACAAAGACGTTATTTTGAAATTTTTCTAGATATAACATTAGTGAGAGTTGCAGATATCAAATATGTAACAGGTGGTAGATCGAGAAATTGATACTCGATACACTTCTTTTGCTCATGTCGCTAGTAGAGGGAGACAACGGCGCGTAAAAAGTTTCATTACTCTAGCGTGATCCAACATTGTTGCAAATGTTAACATGGAAACGTCAATTATTATCACGACCAATGTAACAAGTATTGCAGATTGCGTCTTGGAGCTGGTATATTTTATATTGTTTAAACAAACGTAGACTTTTACATTTGATATCCCTTTGATATTTTTATAATTTTTCTCGACAGGTATCGAATTCTTTGAACGCCAATGCTACATCAATCGCAATACGATTTCATAATGAACAGCGGAAAATTCAAGTGATAGATAACGGTATAGGAATACCGAAAATACAATTGAAACCGATGGCAGAGTATAATAATGAAAGCATTCTGAATTGTTCAAATATACACGATCTGTGTAGCTGGAAGAAACGGACACTCAGTAACTGTCGTAGACTGTCTAACGTTATGTTTATAACATCTAGATATTACAATTCGCAGAAAACATTTATGAAGGTACACAATCTTCATAATTAAATTATCCGTTTGAAAATATAAACTGACAAGTTGTTCGTAGATTTTCAAAGTAAACCGTAAGTCAAAGATTGTCAGAATTGAAAGAAGACCTTCTCAAGGCACTACAATAAGCATTTACGGATTCCATGAATTGTCTTTAAACAAATGGAACATTGCTTTTATGTATCATTTAATTGGAAACATTGCTATAGCAAATCCGCATGTAAATGAACGTTTAGTAACGCATTAATGGATTCTTACATAGTTCATACTGATATATATTTTATACTGATATATATTCGCAGACTTCATTCACCATTAGAGATGATGAAAAAAAGAAAGTTACCATGATAATTGCTAAGCCACACAAACCATTTGACGTTTTCAAATCCCTATATAGTAAGGAAGTGTCACTTCATAAAGTATGGTATACAACGTGTACGAAAAGATCCAATATTAAATTCTGTGCATACATTGGATTAACTGATTCTAAAACTACTGCTTCTCAGTATATTTTTGTAAATGATAAACTCGTTCATTGTCCCTTAATCTTACAAGTAATTTCAGCTACTTTCATAGATATATTAAAGTTTTTCGGAAGAGAACATTATGAACATATATCAAAAAAGGAAGCAGTTTTCATTTTGCTGTTTATCGCGTGTACCAATTACATGTTTACTATAGAAAACGGAAGAAGAACTTTAATGTTTTCTAACATACAAGATCTGTTACAAATCATTAGAAAGAAGATACTGAATATTTTTACAAAAAACGTTAAACCTCTATCTGATATTGGTTCAAGAAGTAGCAACAGATCTACAGAACAGAGCTTTGAAAGCAAAGAGACACAATTGATCCTAAATGATTCAATACAATTTACACCTACTTTAAAACATGATAACAATGACAAAGAAAGTATGCAACTAACTCTTTCCGAATGGTCTAATTGGAGCTTGAAAGAATTAGAAAATAATTCTTTCAAGTTTTATAAGCATTTTGATTTTTTGCCACAAAAATTACATAAATTATTACGTGGAAACACAAAGTTGACAAAAACTGAAGTTTTAAATGAATATAATGGAAGTACATGTTCAACCAAATTGAAA